GTCACTGAGCTATAGGATGGGGTCTGGAATTCCCCCAGCTGTCACTGAGGGTCTTCCCATTCCCCATTCCCTGTGGGGTGGATTCTGGGATGGGATGGAAGTGCTGGGAATGYTCAGTCAGGTCCTTGTGTCCCCCCAGCACTTTGCCCTGTTCCTGAAATACATCATCCAGGTGGCCATTCCTGACATTCCTGCCTGGGTGGCTGAGGAGATGGCCAAGCTGGAATATCAGCGCCGTGAGGCCTTCAAGGTGGGTCCTGCTCAGGGCTGGGGTCCCCAAGGGCTAGTGGGGTCCCCAAGGTGTCCCCAGGATCAGTGGGTTTCCCAAGGCGACCCCAAAGAGCCACTGGGCTCCTCACACCGTCCCCAGAATTGATGGTCCCCTGTGGGGTTCCCCAGGGTTCCTTGGACCTGGTTGGCTTCCTACAGTGTCCCCGGGGTGGGTGTGGCTTCCAGAAGTTTCCCTGGACCTGGTGGCCTCCCCAAGGTGTCCCCGTGGTCACCAGGACCCCCGAGGTGTCCCTGAGCTTCCCATGATGTTCCCATGGCCATCAGGATCCCTGCGGTGTTCCTGGGGCTGGTGGCCACCCCGAGGTGTCCCCTGTCCCGTCCCCAGAAGCACGAGCGGCAGGCACAGCACCACTTCCAGCAGCAGCAGCGGCGCAAGCGGGAGGAGGAGGAGCGGCAGCGTCACGCTGAATTCCAGGCGCGCAAGGAACGCGAGTCCAGCCGGGACGAGGCCAAGCCCGAAGCAACCGGGCAGGACCCGGCCCACGACAAGAGCCAGGGRAAAGGGAAAAGCTCCGGGAGCTCCTCTGGGCACGGATCCGACAAACCCAAGCGCCCCAGTTCGCTGCTGGCCACCAACAACGTGATGAAGCTAAAACAGATCATCCCCCTCCAGGGCAAATTCCTCTCCGGGGGGACGGGGACGTGTGGCACCGCCACCGCCCGGTCCCCGCAGTCCCCGACGGGCAGCGAGAACAAACTTCCTGGATTCTTGAGCTTCAAATTCCTCAAATCCCCCGAGACTAAGCGGGACGCGAGCACCGAGAAGGTGCAGTCGCCCACCAAGCCCTTCAACCCCGGCAAGCTCTTTAATTTCGGCAAGTCCGAAGGGCCCGGTGGCAACGGCGGCGCGGCCACCGCGTCCCCGCAGTCCCGAGCCGGTCCCTCGGCGGACGCGGGCGAGCGGGCGGCGCCCGGGAAGTCGCATCTGAACGAGGACGGCGGACGGGAGGACGGGGAGAGCCGGGCGGAGGAGGAGGGCGGCGGGGCCCGGCTCTAACCGGGGTTCCGGGGGGCCCGGGGACGCGGGGAGCCGCCCGCTCCCTGCTCCGCGCGGCCGTGGCCATCGGGAGCCTCTCGCCGCCGCTCGCCCGCGGGGCGGGGCCGGGCCCGAGCTCGGGTCCGGGACCGGCGGCTGCTAGCGCCGCGCTCCGCCCCGGTGGCCCCCTGTGCCGCCCCGGTGGCCCCCTGTGCCGCCCCGGTGGCCCCCTGTGCTGTGTCCCCGCCGCGCGGAGCCGCCGCCGCCACCACCCCGGGGCCCGCGCCGGAGCTGAGGGGGAAAACTGAGAGCGGGGCGGCTGGAAAATCCTGGAAAATCCCCGGTGCCACGGGTATGGAGGGAGGTATCCCCGTGCGGCTGGAAAATCCCGGGCGCCGGGGATATGGAGGGAGTTGTCCCGGTTCGCTGGAGCATCGCGGTTTGGCTGGAACATCCCGAAGCTTTCAGGCTCACCGGGGCAGAGTTATCCCGGTTTCCATGGGCAGGTGGGAGATATCCTGGTGTGGCTGGAAAATCCCGAACCTTTCCATGCTCCCGGGTGGGAGTTATCCCGAAGCTTTCCGTGCTCCTGGGTTGGCTGGAGCATCCCGTTGSGGTTGGAGGATCTCGAAGCTTCCAGGCTCATTGGTGGGAGTTATCCCGCTTTCAATGGGCACAGATGAGTGTTATCCCAGTTAGTCGGAGCATCCCGGCGTGGCTGGAGCATCCCGAAGTTTTCCAGGCTCACCGGGAGTAGTTATCCCAGTCTGGCTCGAGCAYCCCGAAGTTTTTCAGGCTCCCGGTTTGTCCCACAGATGCCAGAGTTCAGCCTTTGGAGACTCCGGAGCTGCCGGATCCTCTGGGATCACCCTCCGCGCTCGCAGCCACATCCCCGCTCCTGGAATTCCGGGATTCAGCCCGATTCAGCCGTGCCTCAGCCCTCCGAGCCCCGCTCCGCCCCGCTCCCTCCGCCTGGATCCCTGCTCCCGAATCCTTTCCAGCTTCCCAGGACCTTTTCCAGCCGGGAATGAAGGCGGGGAACCAGCACCCACCGGGAATGCCGTGCATGGGCAGCGTTTCTTGCACTAAATCCCAAACGCCAGCGACGCTTCTCCTTCATCCCGGATCCCAGCGGGAGCGGGGCCGGGCCCTTCCCAGCTCCAGTGCCGAATTCCCTGGAATTCTTTCGCAATAAGAAGGTGCCGGGACAAGGAGGGGACATGGGGAGGGGACACGCGGTGGGGAGGGGGTGGGTGGGAGCCGCTTCGCTGCTGCCGCGGGAAGGATTCGCTGGAATCGCGYCCCGCTCGGAGCTTTTCCAGCCGGATCCATGCTGGGAATGCGCTCCAGGATCCCGCTTCCCCTGCTTTGCTGGGGCTCTGCTTCGCTTGGCGGGGACAGCGTGGGGTGCTGGCACTTGGGGACACCCGGCGCTGCCACCTGCCCGCAGCTCAGCGCCATTCCCAAAGGGAAAAATCTGGGAAAAGAGGGAAGGCCTAGGAAAGGGGAGGTGCCCTGTCACTGTGCCTGGCCCAGGCTTTGTCCCCTCCTGTCCCCTCCCCCAGATCTGGGCTGTGGAAAAAGTCAGGTCGGAATTTTGTGACAGCCCCCCCCCTTCTCCCAAGGATCCATGGAATTTTTTGGGGTTTTTTTTTTGGGAAGGGGGATCCTAAATCAAAGCCATTTTCTACAGCAATAAGGGCAGGGAAGGGCTGAGATTCCCAAGGGAAAGGACACSGTGTTCCCTCTCCAGGGTGGGATAAAGCCTCATGGAATTGGGGACAGAGCTTGGAATGTGGGACAGAGTTTGGGAATTGGGAATGGAGGTTTGGGATTAGCGACAGATCTTTGGAATGTGAGGATGGAGCTTTGGGAATTGGGGATGGAGATTTGGGAATGTGGGGCCAGGAGGTCCCAATCCCTCCCCACCTGTCCTAGCCTAATTTGGAATATCCTGGAGAAATTCTGTGCAAATCCCAGGAAAAGGGAGCCCTGGGAAAGTTAGGAATGTTGGGAAACTGAGGCCCAGCRGCCCCAAAGCTCGGGGGGGGCTCCTCTTCCCTCCCTCCATCCCACAGAATCTTCCTGCTCTGCTCATCCCAAAAAAACCCACCGGGCTTCCTGGGAATGGCTTTGATCCCAATTCTCTCCAGGGAGAAAAGATCCTGGGTCCATCCCAGAGGGAAGGGCCCCAACCAGGACCCCACCCCCAAATCCGGGGCATTTTTATCCCTTTCCCAAAAAAACACCCTCTGGAATTTCTCCAGGTGTGRAGGAGGGAAAAATTTGGGTATGTTTTTTCCTTTGCTTTTTTCCTTTTCTCCTTGGAGCCGGAATTCCATGGGAATTCCAGGAAAGGAAGGGGGGGTGGTTTAATTTATTTCTTTTTAATTTATTTTTGTCATATTTTTGTAAAACCTGCAATAAAAAAAAATAAAAAAAAAAAAAAAACAAAAAAAACCTCTATTTCAACAAATCATTTGAATCTTTGAATATTTTAATCAACTGAGCTCAGGGATATGGAGTAGCATTCCCAACCTCTGGAGAATTGGATCCAAATCCTTCAAGGAGTAATAGAAGGATGAAAAAAATCCAATTTTAATCCTTGAAATTCCATAAAAATCTTCTCCCCCCCCCCTCCAATTCCAGCTGATATCTGGGATACTTACAGTATTTGGATCCTAAAATATATAAAGATTGGGATAAAAGTGGTGCCAGGGCTGGAAAAAAATTCCCAGATTCCTCAGGCTTTGCTTGAAGGCCTGAAGTCCAAAAAAACTAAAGCTTGGAAGTCAAACTTGTTCTGATTATTTGGGAAAATTCAGGATGAGTATTCCAGAATCTGCCATAGGGGATATTCTGATTTGGGAGTGAATCATTGGGATCATCCAGAGCAATTCCTAGGGATGATGGAATTCCASGATAAGGCACAACTCGAGAGGGTTGGGGTCCCGTTTTCCAGGGAATTTTGCTCCCACAGAGCTGGGGCTGATCCGAGATAATCCAAATGGAGCTCCTGGATATCCTTTGGATTCATCCCCCAAATCCCTGGGAAGCAAATCGCACATTCCCAAGGCTAAAAAATCCCAGATTTTGATGGAAAATGGGGATTAAAATGATCCCCAAATTTTGCTGGTTGCTCCTGGACTCATCCTCCTGGGAAAATCCTTCTTCCCACCTCAAACATTCCCAAGGGAAACAGTTGGGATCTCAAATCCAGGCCCAAGTATCTTTTCCCCAAATAATTCCTTTTTCCTGGACAAATCTGACCCTTCTGGCTCTGGGATTTGAGGAAAGACGGAGAGCTCCCACTGAAATAACCCAGAATTCCAATCTGGGAAAAGGAGTTTTCCTTTAAAAAGTTGAATTTTGTAAACACTAGAAAATGGGAATGAAGAAATTCCCACTCTGCGGACAGGGAAAATCCCTGGAAGGGCCCCAGATCCTGGGAATGGGAGGAGGAAATCCCGGGAAAAGGAGGAGGAGCTGGGAAATGCACAAAGAAAGGGGTTTGGTGGATTTAGGGAATTTTGTGTTGTTCCAATGCTGGAAAGCACCATGAAGGCCCAATTAGGAAAGGATTTTCCAGGGAATATTCCAAAGTATTTTCCATGTGGATACAGGATCAAAGGGGGTGGGTGGGCTGGGAATGAAAGAGCTAAAATTCCAGGAGAAGTCCAGAATGAGCTGGAGGAGGAGGAGGAGGAGGGAATAGAGGGATCCCAAATCTAGGGATGGAATCAGGACTCAGTGCAGGGATCCCAAATCCCTGGAATGGAACAGAAGCACAAATCCAGGGATAAGATTGGGACACAGTCATTGCAAGGATCCCAAATCCATGGATGGGATGAGAACCACAAATTGCTGGATGGGATCAGGACAAACTCCACATTCCAAACCCAGGGATGGGATCAGGACAATTCCAGGGATCCCAAACCCCTCCCAGCTCTKGCTAATCCCAACCTTAGCCCTTGGAATTTCTCATCCCTGACTTCTCCAGTAAACTTCCAGCTCCTGCCCCATTCCCAAGGCTCCCAGCTCCCTTTTCCAAGGCCATAAAGGAAGGAATAAAACCGGGATTTACAACAGGAAGTGCCAACTCTTTAATGGAACAACATTCCCGAGCCTCCGGAAATCCAGGATATGACCTCCGACCACCCTCCCCTCTCCTGGGATCTTGGAATTCCTTCCAAGGATTCCTCAAATCCGGCTCATCCTGGAGCCTTCGGGGTTTTCCAGCTGGAATCCTGATCCCAACAGTGCCGAATCCGCCAAAAAGCCCACCAAAAATATCCCCGGAATTTCACTTTTCCTCTCCCACCATGCGCTCGACATTCCGGGAATTTGGAAGTTGCTTCCATAGAAAAAAAAAAAAAAAAAAAGGGAAAGGTTTTGGAGGCAGAGCCAAAGTTCTGGATTTAAATCCAGCCCCAAACTCTGGGAATTCCAACAGGAGCTGTGTCCTGCTCTTCCCAAGGTTCCTCTTCCAACGCCATTGGAATTTGTTCCCAGCCCAAAATTCCAAGGATGGATTGGGATTTGCTGGGAAAAGGAGTAGCAGGAACCCTCCAAGCTCGCGGCCTCCATCAGAGCGAGGATGTTTTGGAATCTCCTGGAACAATCCCTGTGGATTTCTCAGCAGTTGGGATTCACTGAGGGAAAACAGCTCYGAATTCCACAATTTCCATAGGAATCGGCTCCTCATGGAAAAGCAGATGGAATTTCAGGGTTAAGCTGCTCCTTTCTTAGCTTCTCCTGGGGTTATCCATGAATCCTGAGCCTCTGGATCGTCCTGGAAGGGTGGCAGGGAGCAGGCACAGRATCGTCCCAATCCCAAGGGTTTGGCCATCCCAGACCTTTGGATCGGCTCCACATTCCTGGATTCCATCCGGAATTCCATCTCGGGTTCGATCCCGAATTCCATCTGGGATTCTCCCAATCCAAGGCATTGAGGTGCTGAGCTGATCCCAGTCTGATCCTGGCTCCGTCCCTTTGGAATGCTGAGCGAACCCTCGGGAGAGGATCCATGTATTCCCATGGATCAGGCCGGGAAAAAGCCCCCAGAAAAAAGTTGGGATTTAAGGATTAAAGAGCAACAAAAGCAACAATTCCATCCTTCCCCAGGATGGGAGAAAATCCATGGATTAAGCCCAAAAAAATCCTGGGACTGAAGTGCCCGGAAATCGGCTCCATCCATGATCGGAGATCGGTGCCAGSTTGGGAATTTTATGGAAAAACGGGGAGGCCCCACCCTTGTGGCTGGATCGGGAACATCCCAAGAATTCCTTGGAATATTTCAAAGGGGAAGTGAAGGAAAAAATCCTGGGACTTTCATAAGGAGCAGATCCAAGGAATCCCAGGAAAAGGGGATTCTTGGGAATAGGGAGTTCTCCTGGGCGATCACAAGAGCAGATCCCAAAAATCCCAGGAAAAATGGAATTTTGGGAAAAAAGGGCCTAAGGATCAACAATTTTCCCGCCTGCTCCATAAAAAAAAAATTACGGCATAAATTAAAAAAAAACCCAAGAAAACAGGAGAGAGGCAAATCCCAAAATAAATAGGGCGAATCCCGGGAAATCTGAGTGGTTTGGGCCTTGTGGGGATAAAAGGGGGTGGGAAGTGGGAATCTGGGAGACACCTGGAGGCAAAAAAAATGGGAAGGAGCCGAGGGAAATTCCCAGAGTTTTAAGTGTCCTCGGTCATGTCCTGGCTCCCCGTCCGGGCGATTTTCCGGGGSGGGGCGGAATTCTCCCCTTCCAGCTCCACCTGCTCCTGATCCCGCTTTTTGGCCGCATTCTGTGGGATGAGATCAGTGCTGAGACATTCCCATCCCGAGGTTTGGAGCTACCCAGGGACTCTTCCTCTCAAGGCCTTGATCCCAACACTCTATACTGATGGAGCTCCAAAACCCCAGGAATAGCAGGAAAGTTTGGATATTAAATTGGAATAATCCTGGGTAAGATAATTTTCCTGCTATTCCAAGCAATCACTGAATTTCCCAAAGCCTCCAGTTCCATAAAATTCCCCCTCTTTCACTGTTGCCCTCACCCTGAGCATTCCAGGATGGAATTCCCAAATTCCCAGCTAAACCTCGCCTTAATCCCATTTCCCTTAAATCCCCAAAAGTCCCATTTTTCCCTCCTTTCCAGAGGCAGAACCATCCCAGGATTTCCATGCTGGACTTCCCACATTAATAATAAAAAATTATTATTTGAATTAMCAAATCCCAAATTCAACAAAAATCCCATTTTTCATCCCAAATTTTACCTTTTTGTCCCACTGCTGGTGGAGGTAGCGCAGGAGGATGTTTGTCTTCTCTGTCACAATGACTGGAAAAAAAATCCAGGAGAAAGCAAGGAAAAAATCCAGTTTTAAGCTCATTTTAATGAATAAGGGGGAAAATATAGAATAAATAAAAGGGAAAATTGGAATTTAGAAAGGGAAAAATGGGAATAAAAAGGGGGAAATTTGGAATAAAAACAGGGGAAATTGGCAATAAATAAAGGGAACATTTGAAAAAATTAGGGAGAGTATTGGGAATAAAGAAGGAGGAAATTGGGAATAAATAAGAGGAATACTGGGAATAAAGAAGTGGGAATACCTGGAATAAAGAAGGGGGGAATACTGGGAATAAGGAAGGGGGGAATTCTGGAAATAAAGAAATGGGAATACTGGGAATAAAGAAGGGGGAATACTGGGAATAAATAAAGGGGGAAACTTGGGTTAAAAGGGAAAAAATCAAATAAAGGGAAAGGGTAGAAATAAAGAAAGAAAAGAAGTTGGAAATAAAGGAGCAAAATACCAAATAAAAAGGGGAAAGCTTCAAAATCTAACCAACTGAAAGGAATTTTTGACTTTCCCACYGAACCCGGGCTAAAACAATGGAAAACTGGGATTTTCCCAGGTAAACTCACTCTGTTCCGAGGGGAATTCTCTGGTGGGCAAATACACCGACGGGCGGCGGTTCTGGAACGAATTCCAACAAAATCCGTCAGGAATGGGATTTGCTAACCCAGASTAGGATTGGGAATGCTGGGATTGGGAACGCTGGGATGGGGGAACTCTGGGATGGGGGAACGCTGGGATTTGGGAATTCCAGGATCCAGGAGCACTCACAGAAGCCTTGCAGACGGAATCCGCATGGAATCTGCTGAAGTTGCTCTTGTTGTAGACCGGGAGCCCCTTCAGGAAATCTGCCTGGAGAGCCAGAATTCCCAAAATACAGTCAGAAAAGGAGCCGGGAGACACCAGGGAATTTGTATCCATCCAACAAACCCGACATTCAGCCCCAAAATCTGGGGATTGAGCAGAAAATCGCTGGGATTTGGGCACCACAAAGTTTCCCTTTCCTGGTTAAAATTCCAATGTTGATCCCAAGGCTCCAATTCCCAATCCCTGGGACACCTGGGCATGGTGTCACTAGMCCAACCACGAGTCCCCAGTGCCTGTCCCTGCCAGGAAACACGGAAAAATTCCCATTCCAAAATTCCCAAGGGATCATCCCAGGGCTGGGGGGGGGCTCCAACCCCTCTCTTCCCAAAAAACTTGGAGATGGAGGAACTGCCCAAAACTGAGGATGGGAAAGCCCCCAAAGCCCAGGGGGACCCCAGAATATCCCAATGCCCCCAAATATTCCGAAGGGGGAAYACCCAGCCCCCTCAACCACTCCCCCACAAAACAAATGGTCCAGCCCCACCTTAGGGTGCCCCCTTCAACCAGCCTCATAAGATAAGCGGTTCAGGCCCAACTGAGGGTGCCCCACACCCATATGGAGCCACCCTGGGGTGCCACAGCCCCACCCCRGGGCGCCGGGAAGCCCCGAACCCCCAAATTCTCACCAACACGCAGCATCCCCCCCGGGGTTCCCCGCACCCCCAAATCGTCCAGACCACCCCAGTCCCGCCCTCAGGGTCCCCCTCACCGCCATTCCTGAGGGCGGGAGCCTCTCACCCCACCCCCTCAGCCCCTTGCGCCCCACCACCCCCGCCCAGGCCGGAACGGGCGCGGGCCCTGCGGGCCGGAGGCGGCCGCGGTTCCCCCACACAGTGCCGGGCAGGTCGCGGCGGGTGCGGCGGGGCCCGAAGGCCGTGGCCGGGGCGCTGAGGCCGGGCCGGGGGCGCCATTGGGGCGGGGGTCTCACGTACCATCTTGGCCGCCGCCAGCCGGGAGGAGCCGCCCCGGCCCGCCCACTGCCATCGCCACACGCCCCGCGCGCTCCTATTGGTCCGCGCACCCAAACTCTCGCTTCCTATTGGGCGCCGCTGCTGTCAATCATCAACAATAAGGTTGCGTTGAGGCAGGAAGTGCCCGCGCGGAAGGGCGGGGTGAGTGCGGCGCGGGAGTACCCGGATGAAGCTCGCCGCGGGGCATGCTGGGAGCTGTAGTTTGGGGAATGGCCACGCTTGGCAATTAGGCGCTGCCTCATTATGTAGCGGCTCATCAGCGGCGCGGGGAGAATCCCKCCCCTCTGTCTCAGCATCTCAGAGCTCGTGATGGAACCAGGACCGCAGAGGACAGAGCAGTGAAGGCACTGCTGATACGGCCAGTGTGAAGTCAATTTAAATTCCATCCCTAATTCCACATCCTGAATCTTTCTATCCTCCCCAAATGCCCCTCCCCAGCAGCTGTGACCTGGAACATGACACATTACCCCTCCTCATTAAGTTTCCTATAAGAATTAATGCAGGAACTTCCGGACGAGACACTGGGATTTAAACACACTTTGCATTCCCACATTTATCTCAGAATACACACAAATCTTCGGAATTAACACATGGAAAATCACAGATAATTTAATTAAGCAGCAGCYRCATCCCAAACCCCSYCACAGGCCACCGTGACCCCTCCCAKACGACAGGAACAGCTGGGATGAGGACCATCTCCATGTCTTGGTGGGATCATCCCGAATTCCTGGCAGATCCAGAGGGTCCCTCAGTGGCTCAGGGATTTCCTGCCCTTTATCATGCGGCGCAGGATGACWGCGATCCCACCGGGAGTGCTGATACGTTTGATCCAGCCGTGTGTTCTTTTCCGCTTCCAGTTGTTAGGCTGGTACTCGTTCCCTCGAGATTTTCCACGGATCTGCTGGAARCCCCAGGCTGGCACCAGGATGCGGCAGAGAGCGGAAGGAATGGAGGGTGTGGAAGGTGGCTCCAGAGGGTTTGGGAGCAGCGGGAAGGGATTGTGGACGGAGCAGTGCAGCAGGGAAAACCTTGGCGAAAGGCAAAACAGAAACAAGGAGTGAGGAGAAGTAAATAAGGGATTGGTTCGTGGAATCGTGGAATTGTTMAGGTTGGAAAGAACATTAATATTTCTGATTCCAGCCGTTCTCCCAGCTCTACCAGAGCCATCCTATTCGCGTCCCCAAGTGYCACATCCACGCGTTACATGGACACCGACTCCAAACCTCCCTGGACAGTTTTTCCAGAGCTTTACACCCCCTTTCCTGCAGGGGAAATAATAACCCACCTGACACTCCTCAGGTCCAGCTTGAGGCCACAGCCCCTTGTGGTGCTGTCCCCTGGGGGCAGAGCCCGATCCCCCCCAAGGCTGCTCGCTCCTTTCAGGAAGTTGTGCAGAGTCACAGGGCCCCCCTAAAACTCCCTTTCTCCAGGCTGAGCCCCACCAGCTCCCTCACCAGCCCCACACGCTGTCGCTGTCGCCCCGCTCAGGGCGGTGTCACCCGGTCCCCCCCCGGTACCTGCGGCCCCCGGCCCACAGCGCCGCCATCGCGCCGCGCCCGCCAACAACGCCGCTCCCCATTGGCTCCATGCTCCCGCCAACAACGCCGCTCCCCATTGGCTCCATGCTCCCGCCACTCCCAGCCGGCGCTGCCCCGCAAGGGCTGACGGGAGTTGTAGTCCCCGCCGTGGGGGGGGGGGTGGTGGCGGTGTTGCCGTGGCAACGCTCCCGCTGCGGCGCTGCCGCTGCGCTTGTGCCCAACGCTGTCGCGACATGCGGCGCGACATGCCCCTCAAAGCCACTCCCGGTGCCTAAAAGGGCTCCAGGAGAGCTGGAGAGGGACGTGGGACAAGGCATGGAGGGACAGGACACAGGGAATGGCTTCCCAGCGCCGCAGGGCAGGGATGGATGGGACATTGGGAAGGAATTCCTGGCTGTGAGGGTGGCAGGCCCTGGCACAGGGTGCCCAGAGCAGCTGTGGCTGCCCCTGCCGGATCCCCGGCAGTGCCCAAGGCCAGGCTGGACATTGGGGCTTGGAGCAGCCTGGGACAGTGGAAGGTGTCCCTGGTCATGGCAGGGGCTCGAAAGGGGTGGACTTTAGGGTCCCTCCAACCCAAACCAYTCTAGGATTCTGCTGTTCCTTTTCTGGACCATCCCAACCCTATCCCAAGAGCAGGAACAGCTCTGGGYTTTTCCTCCCGCTGTTTTTTGTGTCCCAGCAGGAACTGGCCTGGCAGGAATGAGGGGATGGAGCTCAACCATCCTAAACCCCAAAGTCTGTGAAAACAAACTCAAAAGCCAGCCCTGATTCCGTGTTTGTTCTCCTGTCCCAGCCACGGCAGGTGTTTGGTGCACAGACACCTGAGTTCCAACACACTTGTGGTACTGCCATGTTCATGACATGTTTGTGGCACTGTCACACTTGTCACATGTTTGTGGCACTGCCACCTTCGTGCCCTCTGCCAACCCACAACCAGCACCCCCATCCAAGCGCCCGCCCTGAGCCCSGTGTCCCCGTCCCGCAGTGCCGGGGCTCGTCTCCCCCCGGGCTGGCACTGGCGCATCGCGGTGTCCATCAGAGCCAGGTCCCGCCTCCTTAGGAGGGATTTCGGGGCTTTCCATGGCGACAGCTCCAAGGACAAACCCCCCCCGAGTCCCCATGGAGCCGCTGCTGGGGACGAGCGGGAAGGGGAGGAATTTTTGGGGGGCGGCTGAGCAAAGCTGAAGGGATTTTCTCCATCCCGCCCCTCCAGAACGCCTGAAAAAAAAATGGGATTTTAACCAGCGCCGCTGGCATCCCGCTCCCACCGCCTCGGGCATCGCTTCTGCCTTTTCCTTTGGGAATTCTTCGGAATTCCAAGCTTTTCTTCCCATCCCGACCTCTAACAACCCTCGGCAATAAATGAGGTGAGCGGCGCTTTTTTCCTCTGCGGTGGTGCGGGGATGTCCTGACGCCAAAGATGCTGTTGGGAGGGAACAAAATGGCCCAAAAATGCGGGAATTCTTCCCAGTCGGAAGGGATTTGCAAGGATTTGGGATGGCAGGGGGATTTGGGTGTCCCTCGCGGGGGACATGGAGGAGCCGATGGCGCTGGCGCTTGAATAACCTGGATTTATCCGGCGCCGTCGGAGCGCGGGCAGGGAGAAAGGACGGGGGGATTTATATTGGAAAAATCCAACTTAAGGAACAGCTTCCATCGTGATGCAATGGCCGGGAAGGATTGCTGAGCTCTGTTGCTATGTGCGCGTCCAAAATCTGCTTGGAATTTCAGCTGGAATCTCGGAGGGGGCACCTGCCCGCGGCGGCGGGGGGAGGCTGGGCTGCTTCCATAGCCTGATTCCAAAGGCTGATTCCAAAGCCTGATTCCAAAGGCTGATTCCAAAGGCTGATTCCAAAGGCTGATTCCATAGCCTGATTCCATAGCCTGATTCCAAAGGCTGATTCCAAAGGCTGCTTCCATAGCCTGATTCCAAAGCCTGATTCCAAAGGCTGCTTCCAAAGGCTGCTTCCCATGGTTCCTGCTGCCGAAGCCATCCATTCGCCTCTCCCGCGGCTCTGCGGAGGGAAACGGGAGCGATCCCGGCGGGAATGCCCGGGGATGGAGGGTCAGGCAGGGGCTGCTCCGCCGGGAGCTGCGGAATCTTTTGTGTCTCCAGGTTTTCGTGCTTCCTAAAAGGGGAGGAAAGGGGAGGAAAGGGGGACAGGCGGTCTGAGGGATAATTCCCTCTTCCTGCTCCATTTCCCAGCCCTGCGCCTCCTGGATATTCCCCTTTCTCAGCCCTGTCCCTTGGGGATGATCCCCTTTCCCCGATTCCCTTTCCCTGCTTTTGCCTCATGGACGCTCCCTTTTCCCTGATCCGTTTTCCCTTCTTTGTGCCTTAGGAACGATTCCCTTTCCTGCTCCCCTTTTCCTGCTTCCCTTGCTCTGCTGTGCTCCTCATGGATGTTCCATTTCCCCTGCCCTCTGCCTTATGGATGGCCCCCTTTTCCGGCTCCCTTTCCCTTCTCTTTCCCTTAGGAATGATCCCCTTTTCCTGCTCCACGGACACCCCTTTCTGTGCCATGCCATTCCCTGACCCCACACAATCCCTCTACATCCCATGGGCTCCTGGTGAAATCCCGGGACCACTCCATCCCCCTCTCCATGCCCATGCCATGATTCCAAAGCTGCTTCCATGCTTGGGAAAAACCTTCCTGATAACATTCTTACCCTTAGATCCATCCGGGAAGCCAGGTGTGGACAAATAAATCCAGGCAAAGTGGCTTTTCCCCCATTTTTCCACTGGGAATTCTCTTCCCAGGTCCCAGATCAGGCAGCACAAAGAATTCCTTCCATTCCTCCACTCATCGGGCTCAAACAAACCCRCGGATGCTTCCGCTTTGCTGAGCGGGAAAGGACTGGGAAAAGGGTTGGGAAGAGCATAATGACATTTTGCCATTCCTTAGGAATGTTATGTGTCATCCCTAATACAGGAGAGTCCCGGAGGGAAGGGGTTRGACCCTGAAAATTATTGGGATAGGTTGGACTGGGGCTGTGGTGTGGCTCCTGCTCCTCTCTGGAGCTTCTCCCCCCAGAATTTTCTGGGACTTAGGAGAAATCCAGGCCCTGCAAGGATCCAGGGATCTGGGAACGGGAGTGCTGGGGGGATTCTGTGGATTTCTRGGATTCTCTGGATCCAAGGCATTGGCTCCAGCACTGCTGTCCCTGTGGGAAATGCTGCTCTAGGCTGGTTTTTTGGGATACAAGATTTTCCAGGATTTCTCTTGGCAGGGATGAAGGGTCTGTCTGAGGAAGGGAAGGTTTTGGCCATTCCCAGCGTTCCAGATTTTTGGGATATGGGCTGTCCCAGTGCAGGGMCACAGTGGAGACAGGGCCACCAGGACCGAGGTCTGTTTGGGACAGTTTGGTGACACTTTTCTCTGTGCGAATGGCGAGGGAAGGCCCAGGGGGTGGTGGCACAAAGGGGGGTGGGCAGTGCCCTGAGGCAGCACCGTGTGGGCTCGGGGTCACCCGACATCCCCTGTGCCACCCCCATTCCTTCTGCCAGCCCCACATTCCTCGTGTCATTCCAAGTCCCAAGGCAGGATCCTGAGGCAGGATCSCAATGGCTCCTGGATGCCTCGGCTGGATCTTGCTGTCCCTGACTCATCGCTGTGCCCGGCGTTATGTAACCGGCGCTGAATTCCCAAAATCGCACTCACAGATGGGAGCAGCGATGGGAACGAGCTGGGATACGAAGGGGGAATACCCCCCCCCCCCAAAAAAAAAAAAAATTCTCATTACCATGGCAACCAGCATCTTTCCTGAGTTCCCTGCATCCATCTGGATCTGTTTCCAGCCCTTTTCATCCCACCCAGGGAACATCCCTGGATGTTCCTGTGGCAGACACTGGAGTGGGGTTGTGGAAWGTGTGGGAGGTGGGAGACAGGAATTGTTCACATCCCGACCCTGGAACCAGGCCTGGGGTGGAGCTGAATTCCCTCAACCTGCAAATCCCACTGGAATGTGGGATTTATCCCTGAAAGTGCCGAAGAGGCGTTGAGATGTGGCGCTTTGTGGATAAACACACTGGTTAAACWGTTGGATTTAATGATCGCAGAGGGCTTTTCCAGCCTTAATTTCAGTATTCCAGGGGTGTTTGTCCAGATATCCATCAGAAATGCTCAGATCCTGGACCTGGAACTGCAGCCTGGGTGTATCCAACTGGATCCAGCCCCTCCAGAGGGATCTGGGCTCCCACCCAGAGCCGGTGGTGCCAGAGGCAGCTCCAAGGCTCTCCAGACTTCCTGGCTCTTTCTCCAGAGCTCCTGACTCCAGAGCCTTCCTGCAAATCCATTTGGGAATGACCAGGAGGCACTGATCGAGTTAATCCCAAGGAGTTCATTGCCAGGAATCAGTTCCTGATCCATACCTGGATCATCATGACCTTGTGGGATGGAGGACAGGGATTTGTGGTTCCCATTCCTGCAGGAGCAGGAGCAGGATCAGTATCCCAGTTCCCATTCCTGCAGGATCAGCCCTTGGATCCGGCCCTCTTTTCCCACTGGTATCAATAATTCACTGCATTTTCCCTCATCCATAATTAACACATTCCCAATCTTTCAGCGCCTCTGGCATCACTCCAGCCTCAATGTCCCCATTACCACCAGCTTTTCCCTGGATCATCCCAGTATTTATTGGGTAAAACTCAAGGAATGAGCTTTGGGGACAGCAGGGACTGTGCCACATCCCCCCTGCTCCTTCTTTGATTTCCCTGGTTTTGTGGAAGGATTTTAATGAAATCCCTCTTCCAACCCTGTCATTCCCACCTCGGATGGCTGCTTCTGACTGGAGCATTTATATTTCATTGGGATGAATAATGCATTCCCAGGTCTGGATCTTCCCAGTGCTCCACTTTTGTTGGGAAAAGGAGAAATTTTTGTTTCAAACAAGCTTTTTTTTTTTTCCCTCAGTTGGAGCAAATCCCTCCTGCAAGGCTGGGGGTTGCGTGATAGGGACTTCAGGGCTTGGTGACAGGGATGTGACTCAGAAGAAGTGGGACAGGGCATGTTGGATCCATCTGAGATCGAGGATCTGCTTTTGGGGGCACTCCATCACCCCAAATCCATCCCTAGAGGGATTTTCCCAGAGCTGGCAGCAAAACAGATGGGGACAAAGCCCTCACTGATCCCATGCCACAAGCAGGTGGCAGAATTGAGGATGAATCCCTGTTTTCCCGTTTTCCCAGGGAGCATAATGCTGACCAGCATCACCGACGGGCTCCTGTGCTGCCTGCTGGGCAAGACCCCCAATGCCGTGGGGCCGCTGGACAGCGTTGAGTCCAGCGACGGCTACAGCTTCATGGAGGTGAAACCTGGGAGAATCCTGCGGGTCCGGCACAGCATTCCCAACCGGCCGGCATTCCCGGAGGAGCCGGAGGAGGTGGCGGAGCRGGGCACGGTGCACTGCAAGCGCCGCATCACGCTGTACCGCAACGGGCAGCTGCTGATTGAGAACCTGGGCAACGCCGTGCGCTCTGAGATCCTGCAGTGCCAGGAGCCCAGCAGCACCGTGGAGCTGGAAATGTCGGACACAACGGGAATCCCGGCCTGTGGCGGCGGAACCACGAGGGACGGGGCGGCGACGCCCGGGAAGCGTCGGAAGCGCAAACCGAAAAAGGTCGTCACCATTGACTGCAAGAAGCGCATCACCAGCTGCAAGGGGACGCACGGGGACGTGGTGCTGTTCTTCATCCACGGCGTGGGGGGCTCCCTGGACATCTGGAAGGAGCAGCTGGAATTCTTTTCCAAGCTGGGATACGAGGTGGTGGCGCCGGACCTGGCGGGCCACGGCTGCAGCTCAGCACCGCCCATCGCCGCCGCCTACACCTTCTACGCGCTGGCTGAGGACATGAGGGCCGTGTTCAAGCGCTATGCCAAGAAGAGGAATATCCTGATAGGGCATTCCTATGGGTAAGGTGGCTGGGAATGGGATGGGGTCATCCCTGAAAAACCTCCGGGCTCGCCGTGGTTGGGAACACCCAGAAAATCCTGCATTTTAGTGGYGTGGGGCTCCCATTCTGGGGGATTTATTGGGTTTATCCCAGGGTTCCGAGGTCCTAAATGCCCTTGGGTTGTGTCCTGGTGTCCAGCTAATCGCAGAGCCCTGAGGGGGAGCTGGAAGGGCAGGGACTATAAATAGGATAAACCCAGGAAAGTCAATTAGGTGGAGGCTAAAGGAGGAGAAGGATCCAGAGCTGCTCGGAGCCAGGTGGGATTAGCTCAGGACAAGGCCTGGAGGAAGCGCAGGTGGGACTTGGACAAAATTCTGCCCTGTAGTGGGGTTTGGCTGCTCTGCCCCGAAAAAGAGGGGAGCTGCACTCTGGCCATGGATCCTTGGGATCACAGCATCCTGGAATGGTTGGGGTTGGAAGGAAGCTTAAAAATCCTCTCGTTCTAGCTCTGCCTAGAGGGCAGAGACATCTTCAACTGTGCCAGAGTGCTCCAAGGGACAGGGACAGGAATGGACAGGGACACAGACATGGCACATGGGCAGGGACATGGGCATGGGACACCTCCCACTGTCCCAGCTTGCTCCAACCCCAGTCACTCGGGACACCGGCACCCTTTCCCCATGCTCCACATCCCTCCTGTCCCTCGGGGTCAGCCCATTGTCCCCACATGTCCCCTCAGGGTGTCCTTCTGCACCTTCCTGGCACACGAGTACCCAGAGCTGGTCCATAAGGTGATCATGATCAACGGTGGTGGCCCCACGGCGCTGGAGCCCAGCCTGTGCTCCATCTTCAACATGCCCACGTGTGTCCTGCACTGCCTGTCTCCCTGCCTGGCCTGGAGCTTCCTCAAGTGAGTGACCGCCATGCTGACCCCTCACGCTGCCTCCCGGCCCTCTGGATTTTGGGATAACCCCCGGTTTTCCCACTCCAGGGCTGGCTTTGCCCGCCAAGGTGCCAAAGAGAAGCAGCTGCTGAAGGAAGGCAACGCCTTCAACGTCTCGTCCTTCGTGCTGCGGGCCATGATGAGCGGGCAGTACTGGCCCGAGGGGGATGAGGTGTACCACGCCGAGCTGGCCGTGCCCGTGCTGCTGGTTCATGGCATGCACGACAAGTTTGTGCCCGTTGAGGAGGACCAACGCATGGCCGAGGTAGGGGGCACAGGGTGGATTTGGGGGGGGCTAGGGGTTATCCCAGCATGATCACTCTTGAGAGAGGGGGCACAGTGTGGCTTTTTGAGGCCTGGAGTCTCCTGACACCAYGCAGGGGGCTCGTCCCAGCCCTGCCACTCCTGATGGAGGGGACAGAGTGACTTTGGAGGGGCTGGGGTCATCCTGGCACCCCCCAGGTGCCTCACCCCCGCCCTACCCACTCCCCAGATCCTGCTGATCGCCTTCCTGAAGGTGATTGACGAGGGCAGCCACATGGTGATGATGGAGTGTCCCGACACGGTGAACACGCTGCTCCACGAGTTCGTCCTGTGGGAGCCCGACACGCCAGCAGCAGGGGACGGCCACGGCGACACGAAATAACGGGACGCCGGGACACCGGGCTGCTCCCTCGGGAGAGGCGGAGCGGAGGAAAGGGCTCGGGCGGAGCCACGAGCCCGATTTGTTTCCCTGGAGATGGAGCGAGGAGGCTCCCCCAGGATGGRATGTGCAGGGCCGGGAGAAGGAGCTCTGGAAGGCGGCAGAGACGGTCCCCATCCCCGAGGGGACAGCGGGGACACGGCAGACCCGGCCCCACCCCGGGAGAACACCGGGGACACGGTACAGCCGGTCCCCACCCACCGGCGCTGGAGCGGCTTCATCCCGGGTTTTTTTTTCCCCGTCGTTTTCATTCCCACACGCAGCGATAGCTCCGGGGACCGAGAGAGGAGGTGGCGACACGGGGAGGACTCGGTCGGTCCTCGGGACCGGGGTTGGGTTGATTTAAAGAGAATCCAGAGGGTCCTCTGCAGCGGGATTTTCCTCTAGAGCCACCCGCGCCTGGATTTGTGGGGGATTCAGCAGCTTCTGCAGGGATGAGGACGAGGAGGAGGGGATCACCCATGGGAATGGCCGGGATGATGGGATCGTCCCGCGTGTCGCCGGTGCCACCGCGGGCACGGCCACGTCCCCGGCCGCCATCGCTTTTAGGACACCGCTTCCGCAGCGCCCCCGCTCCCCCGCYGCTGCCGCAGTCCCTCGGGGACATCCCTGTCCCTTTCCCGTCCCTTCCCAGCTGCTCCATCCCTCCGGGATCCATCCCCTGGAGCACCGGCGGATAGCAATACCCCGTCCCGTGGCCCTTCCCGGTGATTGGCGCAGGATGCGCGGGGTCTCGGAGCTGCCGGGACCGCCCGKTGGCGGCTGCCCCCATCCCTCCTGCACATGTTCCACCTTTTCCGCACTTCCCGGGAGACGCGCAGGGCTCGAGGAGGGACCTGTGAGTGTCCAGCAGGACCCCGGGTGTCACCCGGGATGCCAGGAGGTGCCATCCAGGGGGGCATCGCCATCTGCCCCAACCCTGCTTCCCGCTTTGTCCCCCCCTAATTCCCAACATTTAAGCCAAAGAAAGTGCCGACCCCATAGGAATCTCATCCCTGTTCCTTGTTCTCACCCTGTCCCTGTGTCCCGAACGGGGCTGGCACCCCACCAAGGGGGGGTTAGGGGGGGTCCTGAAATGCCCCTTCCCCAAAGCTGAGCCCCTCTTTGTCCCCACTGCTGTGTCCCCACTGCCRGTGCCTGCCCTGCCCGCTGCTGTCTCATCATGAGAATTTTACCCCTCCCCAGCCTCAAATCATCTCCCACACCCCCCCAGCACCCCCAGGGGCCGCCCCAAAAACACCGTTATGCCCCAAACCACGGCTGTGCCCCCGTCCCCAGCCAGCTGTGGGGTCACATCTGTGGGGTCACAGCTGCCCCAGCTCGGTCCCTTCCGGGTGCCACATTCCGCTTGTGCCAGAGCCAAGCCAACGCACACGGCGCCGGCTGCTGCCATCGCTGCCACCGCTGCTGCCACGTGTTCGTGCCATCCCCCCCAGTAAAGCCGTGCTGTATCCCCGCTGTGTCCAACTTTGTGCTGGGAATCCTGGGAATGCACTGGAGCAGGGAGAGGATCCAAAAGTTCCCAGTAGAGATTTATTGGTTGCCCATCAGAGGCAGAGAAAAACAAATATTCTCCCCGTGGTTAGGACACAAAAGGGGCACCTTGGGGTGCTCAGGGTCCTCCGGGGATGTCCCCAGGCCGGAGCTGGCACTCCCCCTCGGCTAGCAGGATGCTCATGGCGCGGTGCAGCAGGAGGACGCCCAGGCGCTGGCGCCGCTCGGCTGCCCAGGCTGCGGCCACCCCATAGCACGGCCCCCGGCGCTCGTTGGTCAGCGGCTGCAGGCCTGGGGGAACAGGGGTCAGCAGCCACAGCCCCACAGGGGGTCAGGACAGTGCTGGGACCCCCAGAGTCTCACCCAGTGCCTCGAGCATGCAGCTCTCGCGGGTGTGGGCCTCAGCGTTGGCACGGTGGTGGAAGCACTGCAGGACCACCACTCCGTGCCCACTGGCCCAGATTTCCAGGATGCGCTGCACCTTGGGGCAGCCCTGGGGACAGCGTTGCCATCAGTGGGGACACTGGGGCCTGGTATGGTCCTCGTGCCCATCACCACGGTCCCAAAGCCCCCCGCATGGCTCTGTGACCGTCACCATAGCCCCGGTCCTTCATTCCCACCCCACAGCCCTCAATGCAGCTCCTCATTTCCAGTCCCATGGCCCCAAACCCCCCAAGGCAGCCCCTCATGCCCAATCCCATGACCTCCAGTCCCCCATTCCCAATCCCACAGCCTCCAGCTCCTCATTCCCACCCCAAAACCTCCAGCCCCCAGGGCAGCCCCCACTCCCACCCCAAGATCCTCCAGCCCCTCATCCCCAACCCCACAGCCCTCAGTCCCCCATTCCCACCCCCTGTATCCCGGCCCGGTGCTGGCGCAGCGCCTGGCCCAGGTGGCAGAAGGGCCGTGCCCGTGTCCCCTTGCCCACGTAGAACACAGCGGTGACAAAGCTCTGGAAGCGCTCGGCCGGGCTCAGCCTGGGGCTGCGCTGGGGCAGGTTCTGGGTGATCCTGGGGGGACAAATCCCCATTTCTGAGGTCTGAACCTCCTCAGCCCCTCTTGGCACGGGGGTGGCAGTGAGGTGACCCTACCTGGGGTCTAGCAGGAGGTAATTGAAGCTGGACTTGAGCTGCCCCTCCCGCCAGGGCCGGCCACACTCCGGCCGCTCGAACTGCCCGGTCAGTGCCAGCTCATCCTGGCCACAGTCAGGGATGTGGCCGGTCCTCAGTGCAGCCAGCAGCTCTGGGCTGTGCCCTGTGGGGGCCAGGCCAGCGGTGGGGACAGCTGAGAGTCCCCTGTGCCTGTCACCAGAGCCCCCAGACCCCTGGGGGTGCAGCCCTTGGGCCTCGACTCTGCTGTGCCCATCGCCGTGGCTCCAAAACCCCCAGTGTCCACCACAGCGGTCCTAAATCCCCCAGCGCAGCCCCCAACCCCCCCAGCACAGCCCCGAGCACCTTGTGCCCACCCCCATGGCCCCAAAACCCCCAATGTCCAACCCCCTGGCCCCAAAACGCCCACCACAGCCCCAAATCCCCTGGTTCACCCACCTGGGGTGGCACCCCGGGATGACACCCCCAGGACTCACCCTCGGGCCGCCCCCGGTGTTCCTCGGCCAGGCGCCGCAGCCGCCGCCGGTAGAGCGAGCGCGTGAGCTCGGTGACAGGGCCCGGATTGTCCCCAAGAGCCCGCAGCCACCGCCGCAGGCTCCGGTCCGAGAGGCGCCGCGGTGACACCGGGGTGGCATCCTCCGGGCTGCTGATGGCCTCTGTGACAGGGCTGGGACACTCGGGGGGTCCCTGGCCCTGCACCTCGGCCTCTGGGTGCCTCTCGGAGTGGGGGGTGGCACTGCCGGTAGGTGACAGTGGCACAGAGGGTGTCCCCAGCTTCCCGCTGGCACTGCCAGGTGGCCGTGGGTCCAGGGGGTGCCTGAAGCTCTTGTGGGGCCACTGGGACTGGGATATCCCCAAGGGCGAGGGGTGCTGCCACCCAGAGCCACCCTCAGGGCTGGGGCAGCTGGTGGCACTGGGGGGACCCCGAGTGGCCGACGGGGACTCCTGGGGGTGTTCGTGGCTCCTCAGGACTGTCCGAACTGTGGGGCTGCGTTGGGGGCAGCCCCGGATGAGTGACAGGGAGTTCTGAGGGTGCCCCTTGTCCCCAGGTCCCAACAGGACCGTGGGGCCAGAGCTGGAGGCGCTGCCAACCCCCGGGGACACGCCGGGGACTCCGGGGAGGATCTGGGTGTCACCCCAAGACCCTGTCCCCTGTCCCTCGGCACCGGCCACATCCCCGTCCCGCGGAGCGACACAGCGGCCCGAGGATGTGGCAGCGTCCCTGGGGACCCTGAGCCTGGGGGGTCTGCGCGGCATCGGCGGCGTCTCCTCGAAGAGGGAAGAAGAGGAGGACGAGGAGGAGAAGCGGAGCCGSGCTGCCACCGCCCTCAGGCGGCTCCTGCTCCTGGGGGTGACGTGGCGGTGCCGAGAGGGGTCCCAGCCCCGCGGGGTGACAGCGCCAGGCGGGGTGCGGGACGGGGAACCCCGCAGGCTGCACCCCCGGAGCCGGGCAGGGAGCCCCGCAACATCCGAGCCGACCCCAGAGCCTCCCCCAAATCTCGGCCCTGCGGCTGCTGCCGGGGGGCTTCTCTCGCAGGGGAAGGGGCTGCAGCTCCCGGGGGACCCGCGTGCTGAGCCCCCCAGCGCCCCCCCGGCCTCGCTGGGCTCCGGGGACTCCGGGGCGCTGACGAAGCACTCAGTGTTGTCCCCAGGGCTGCTGCTGTCCCCAGGGCCGGCAGGGTCCCAGCCCCCTGGCTCTGTCACCCCCGTGTTGGGGACAGCCCCATCCCAGGGGACAACAGGACAGTACTGAGCTGGGATGTCACCCCGGATGTCACCAGGGATGTTATAGGGGGCTTGAGGTGCCACCAAGCAGCTGCCGAGACCACTATAGGGYAGGGGGGACCTCGGGGATGCTGCTTGTCCCCCCGAGATCCTACGCTGGGGCTGCCTTGGGGACACAACGGGAGCAAACTGGGGACAGGCACCAGGGATGTCTCTAGCACTGGGTTTGGGGGGAGCTCCGTGGGGACCTCCTGTCCTGCCCCCCAAAATGCTGCTCAGGGATCCCTCCTGGAGCTGGTCCCGACCTGAGAGCAGCGTGCTGGAGGCGAGGGGCAGCGGGGGGACAGCTGAACCCCGGGGATCCCCGCAGGGCCACGGTGGGAGGGAAAGGGACTCCTGGGTACAGCCTGGCCACAGGGCGGGAACACAGAGGTCCCCCGAGTCTGGCTCGTCCAGGAGGGACCTGCGGGTGCTGCTGAGGGGTCCGGCCTCGGGCCTGCCCTCGAGGGACACGGAGGAGTCGCTGCCATCGGTGCCATTCTCGGTCAGGAAGGACAGGGCCCTCCTGGGCCACCCCAGCTCTGGAGACAGTGATGGGGATCAGTTTCTGCCTCAGCCCCATCAACACTGTCCCCACTGAAGAGGGGATACCATGCTGCCCTCACCCTCTGCAGGGGTCCAGCCCCTCTCCAGTGCCAGCTCCAGGGTCCGTTTCCCGTCCTGCGGGGAGGGGACAGCGCTGTCACCGCTGCCAGAGCTACCATGGGGTGACATCTGCAGCCACAGCTCAGAGGCGCTCCAACGGCCATCCCCACGGATGAAGGTCCCGCGGGTGCCGTCGCTGTCCCCAGGGCTGTCCCTGCTCACCTGCTCCCGCAGCTCGCCCTGGCCCGGTGCCCGCTGCAGGAGCCCGAGGCAGCGGTGGCACCCCCGGACCGCGGCCACGTCCAGCGGTGGCAGCTCCCGGGCACAGCTGAGTCGGGATCGGGACAGGGTTCACTCCCGGGGCACGGCCACCCCGCGGGGTCACGCGAGTGCCATCAGCACCACTGGGGGACATGGCCTGGCCCCGGCCGGGGTTGGGTTCCCCACCGTGGTGCCGCAGCCCCAGCCCGGTCCAGCTGTTGTCCTTTCTGGTTCCAGTGCCACCCCCAGTGCCAGTGTCCCCTCACCAGCGCTGGCGTCCCCTCGGGTCTCGTTGTGTCCCCCTGCTGCCGGTGCCCCACTCCAGTGTCAGCGCCCCCATGGTCCCAGTGTACCCCAGTCCCAATGTCCCCCAGCAGTGCCTGTGTGTCCCCACACTGGTGAGATCCCTTTCCCGATCCCGGTGTGCTCCCCCGCCCCCGCTGCTGATGGCCCTGTTCCGGTCCCAGTGTCCCCCAGTGCCGCTGTGATCCCCAGTGCCAGTGTGTCCCCCGGCTCCCTGTGCCTCCCCGGGGCCGGTGTCCGCCATGGTCCCACTGTCCCCTCCGGTGTCATGTCCCTCCACAGCCCCGGTGCCACCTGGAAACCACCCTGGTCCCGGTTTCCTCCCCGGTTCCCAAGCTGCATTCCCGCGGGTCCTGGTGTCACCCCTCGGTCCATGTGCGCCCCCCGGATCCCCATAGCCCGATACCCCGGTGTCCCTATCGCGATATCCCGACCCCGGGATCCCGATCCGGGTTTACCCCTCCGCTCACACTCCGTTCATCCCGCCCGTTCAAACGCCCCGCGCCGSCGCTGATTGGCTGAGGCGGAGCCAATCGACGGCGGCAGAGAGCGGCCGTGCTGACGTCAAACCGAGAGCGCGCGCAGATGGGCGTGGCCAGTGCCACCCAGTGCCCTGCCCATGGTCACTCAGCGCACCCCAGTGTCCCCAGTGTCCCCAGCCGGTATCGCCCCGTGCCACCCAGTGTCCCCAGCCGGTATCGCCCCGTGCCACCCAATGTCCCCAGTGTCCCCAGCCGGTATCGCCCCGTGCCACCCAGTGCCCCCAGTGTCCCCAGGCGGTATCGCCCCGTGCCACCCAGTGCCCCCAGTGTCCCCAGCCGCTATCGCCCCGTGCCACCCAGTGCCCCCAGTGTCCCCAGTGTCCCCAGCTGGCACTGCCCAATGCCGCCAGTGCTCCCAGCTGCCATTGGCCACTGCGTCGCAGTAACCTGGCCCTGTTAATGACAGGACCCCCAAGCACTCTCAGGGTCACCCTGCCAGCCCCAGGACCACCATTGCTATGACCTGGAGGTGACACAGGGCCAGGAGAGGGGACACCCAAGAACACCGCAATATCACAAGTCAGGAAAACTCTTCTCTTTCCCCACACCCAGCCATCGCCCCCATTGCGCATCACCCTGGGATGCCACCAGCAGGCCCGGGGGTGTCCCTCTCAGACGGTGGCTTCAATCTCRGGGCTCTCCTCGCCCTCCAGGAGCCCATAGGCAGCGTGGCTCTGGAACGGGCGCTGCAGSGGGTGCGCCAGCAGCTTGGCCATGCAGTTGTGCAGCTCCAGTGCCGGCCCTGCCAGCGCCACYTCATACTTGTAGTTGGTGCCTTTGGTGTCCAGGCTGCTGAAGAAGCCATACAGCTCCTGGGAGAGGGGGTGGAAGCATGGGCAGGGTGGGTACAGGGTGGTACTGGGTGACAAAATTTCCCCCAGAGCCACCCCCAGTGCCGGCTTTACCTTCCAGCTGCCCTCATCCTCCTTCTCCTCCAGCCCGTTGTGGATGTAGACGAGGTCAAAGAAGAAATAGGGGCACTGCAGCATCCTCTGGAACGCCACCAGGAAAGCTCTTCCAGGATCACTGTGGCCACCCAGGGCACAGGGAGGGCACAGGGAGGGCACAGGGAGGGGACACGAACCTTCATATGCTCCCCCATGGAGAACTGGGGTTGGCACCCAGGGCGCCCCAGCACCAGGATGGTCCTGACCACATAGGGTGGGGGGATGGTCTGGATGCTCTCAGTCACGGGAAGCTCAATCTTCTGCTGGCTGTGCCCAAAAAGGAGGGACAGGGGTGGCTCAGGGTGGCATCCCCAGCTCTGGGGACACATCCCCACCAGTGGCAGCCACACCAGGAGGAGCCCTTTGAGATCAGTTTGGGTAAAGCAGAAATTTTGGTGCAAAGTGGGAGTCTGGAGCTCTACTGGCAACTTCAGGCCCCTCCTGGATCCCCCAGACTTCTTATGGCACCCCAAGATCCCTTATGGCACCCCCAGACCCCTCCTGGCCCCCCAGCCATGCTCACATGAGGTTGAAGAGCCCTTCCAGATCTGCATTCCAGGTTAAGGATGGATCCTGGCACCTGGATCCCACCTCCCGCCCCGAGAATATCCCATCCCATTTCCAGGGATTYCCCCTGGCACACCCTTTGGAGGGAGGAAATGGGGAGAAAACACCAAAAACTGGGTGTTTAATGGGAGGGGAGACTTTGAATTCACTCCCTGCCTTGGAGGGAGTGCTTTGGAGGGGTGGGGAGGGGGCTCAGCAGCTCTGTGTCACCCCCTCAGCCTCCAGCTGGGTCCCTGGGGGGCCCCAGGGGACCCCACTGGCACCCCAGGGGACCCCACTGGCACCCCAGGGACACCACTGGCACCCCAGGGACACCAATCCCATCCCAAGGACCCTGCTGGCACCCCAGGGACCCCAATTCCACCCCAGGGACCCCAGTGCTACACCCCAGGCCATGGGATACTGAAGGACTTGCACACGACGGTCTCCAGGTCGTAGAGGCAGCTGCAAACCTCGCGGGGGTCCGAGGTGAATCCTGAGAGCTGAGAGGGGCCAGGTGGGGAGGGGACAGAACTGTCCCTGTCCCCTGTTCCCATCCCCATCCCCATCCCTGTCTCCATCCCTGTCCCCAGCTCACCCAGGTGGCGTCATTGTTGACCACAACCAGGGCGAACTCATGGCTTTTGTCGATCTTGTGCTTGGTCCTCACGAACATCTCAATCATCTTCTGGGAGATGTTCAGGGCATTGGTCTTGGACCTACCATGAAGGGGATGGGGCTCAGACGGTCCCAGAAGGTCCCAAACCCTGCCTCCCAGCACCCCAAAACAGCCACCCCAGTGCTTACCCATTGAAGGATTCCAGTTTGGACACGGCCATCTCCTCGGCCAGGTCCAGGCAGATGATCTGGGGAGGAGGGACACAGCTGAGACCCCCCAGCTGCTCATCCTGGGGTTGGGGTGGTCCCTGCTCAGCCCTTCTGCATCCCGAAATATCCCCAAGAACTCCTTGTGTATCCCAATATATCACCATGGACCCCTCCTGGATCCCCTTGATAACTCCCCAGTATCTCCCAGCATCCTTGATGATATCCCAGTACAATCCCAGTATCCTCCCTGATAACATCCCAGTATTCCCCCGTAATCCTCCCCAGCATCTCCCTACCATCTTCCTTGATCATCCCCCAGTATCCCCCCAGTCTCCTCCCCGATAGTCCCCCATTAAATCCCCAGTCCATCACTCACCACCTTCTCGGGGCAGTTCACCCGGGGGGTTTTCACCTGCACCTCGGTGTGGGCGGCGGTGGGGCCGGGCCAGGCGGGGCCAGCAGGGCCGCCGGTGGCCTGGGGGCTGTGGTCAGCGCTGGCCGCCTCACCCTCGCCCTCACTGCGGTTGCCCACGCTGGCCTGGGCGCTCAGCGCACGGTCCTCGGCACCCTCGGGGTTGGAGCGGGTGCGGGGCCGAGGCTCAGGTGCCTTCTCCTCCTCCTCCTCGGCCGCGCTGCCCGGCTCCGACGTGTCCATCCCGGGAACGGGGCCGGGACAGAGAACGGGAGCTGGGGGGAACCCGCTGCAGCTGTGACTCCACGACGCTCTGGGAACCCCCTGCCCCACATCCCACCCACCCGTGGATCCCTTCCCCACGTAGCTCCCATTCGATGGATCCCCTTCCCACTGATCCCCCATGCTGGGTATCCCCTGCCCCACGACCTCCCCTGCGCCCCCTGCTCCACGCACGTCCCACTCTTCTGGACCCCCTGCAATGGCACTCCCCATTCCCTGGACCCCCTTTCCACGCACCCCCAGTTTCTTGTAGCCCCT